ATGATCCTTAGTTGCTTATCGTAACTGAAGAATGGGGTTGCTTAGAATGGTTGGGGGTGGGGGGGGAATCGCCGAGGCTGGTTAACAACACAGAATGCCTTACATTGTGCATTGCTGTCACAATTACATCAATTGGTACCTTTTTTACTCCCCTGGATCCCTTTGATCCCTTGACTTCCCTGGGCCTCAGCTTATTCATCCGTGTAATGGGACTGAACCGATTCATCTTTGAAGACTGCTACGGGCTTCTGTGGTGGGATTCTAAACCTTTTGGCAACCATCAATGATTCCATTAGAATTTCCAACTATTACACACATTTATTTATTTTTTTATTTGAATATTTATGTGTGTAGGTATGTATTTTTATTTTCAATCTCACAATAGAAAAACATACTTAATGTTTTTGATTTGTGAAACTATTTCCACCAAGGGCAGAACATTATGTTCTCTCTCTCCCTCCCTCCCTCTTTTCTTCTCTCCTTCTCCCTCTCTCTGGTGTATGTGTGTTTTTTTTTGCTCTAAGTGCAGGCAGGTGCCATGGCATTGGAGTGGCATACATTTTACCTTTTTTTTTTTTTTTTTTTTAGCTGAGCCATCCTGCCACCTGTTGGCAGCTCAGCAGCAGCTCAGTTCGGGCCGGGCATCAAACCGCTGTTGCTCAGAGCTCGAACTCTTGAGCGAGCTCTGCATTTTACCACTTCTTAGAATGGACTTGCCCGAAAGCAGAATCAGGGAGGAATCATTTCTGCTCTGAGTAACTTGGTTCATTTTTTCCAGCTTAGAACTTGGTTACTTTCTAATTATAGATTGTGGCTGGGTGTGTCCTAAACTAAAACCAGTTCTATAGGACTCTTTGTTCTGTTCTTTTCCCTTGAAAATGAGCAATAGGAACAGGTGAAAAGCAAATCTGGAATTGCTTGACTCAGTCCTGGACTTTTCACTGTTCTTTGTCCTTGGCTTCATTTAGACATTAAACTCAGATGTCTGCTTTACTTGTCCATCAGAAAATAGACAAAGCTTGGCATACCTTTTATTACATGATCACTTCATGAATTATTTTAATAGGTATTCTAGAAAGAACTGAGTAGGAGACCTTTGACACTTTGCTATCAACCAACCGTCTCCTACTTACATTTATGCAAAGGAGTTTCTTTAAACTTGAACCCTCTACTCTAGTTGTTTGAGTCAATGTTGGTCTTTGCTTTTTTTTTTTTTTTTCTTTACAGCTCAGAAATATTTGGGTGGGTTATAGGTCTACGCTCAAGGCTATGTAAAAGAGTTTGTTTCAGGCACTTTTCCCACTTTAATTTGTTCATTTTTAAATATCCAAGTAATATGTGACTATTGAAACAAAACATGAAAATAGAAATAAACAAATGGGAATAAACTACCCTTGAGTCTACTACCCAGTATAACTATTGTAACCTTTGGTATAATTTCTCTCCAATTCTTTCTGGTGCTAAGAGTGAGATGTATTAATCTGTGCGAGTTTCTGGGCCTCTCCACTTAGTCTCCCCACCACCTGCTGACGAAGGTTTTGTTTTTGCCCTGTCCAATTCTTCCCTTCCCCAGGTCTATAAGGAAATGTTTGTCTTTCTCAGACCAATTCTAGGGTTAAATCAGGGGGTACAGTTTAATCCATATAAAATTTAAAAAAGAAAAGAAAAAAGTACAGAGAGACTAACTAGAGCTGGATAATAAAGAACTGGAGATAAGGGGGACGAACAGAATAGCATACCTGTTGGATGTCGGGAAAACTTGGAGAGTGAGCGTTTCACTTTGGCTTCAGAGCATCTGGAGAATGGGCAGAGAGGCAAGGTTGGAGTGAGACTAGGAACAGAGTCACTGTGGTGTATGAATTGAAATTGCATTAATGTTATTGGAGAGATGATGGAAGTACAATGGACCGTTGTAGCTGACCTATGCCAAGCCTGGGGTGTGGGGCTGGGGAGTTGTTGCTTTTATGCTTTTATATTTTTTCTTTATATATTTCATTCTATTTCTTATTACAAAATAACATACTAATTGTAAAAATTTCTACTTCTGAGCTGTATAGCATATGTGATAAATCTACCTAATGGAGAGAATGTTTTATAATTGCTTTTACCCACTCAATATATTATTAATGTCTTCCCATATTATTAAGTATACCTCAACTTTAAAAAAAAATCACTGTATGTACCATCATCTAGTAAATTCTTGGTCACATAGGTTATTTCTAAAAAGTTTTTAATCATAAACACGAGTCGTGTGAATACTGTTACAAGTCAGTCTTTGCATTTTTATTTATTTCCTTAGACTCTCTTCCGAGGAGGAGATTTAGTGCCTTGAAGGGTATAAGTATTTGCAAATGTTTCGAATGAAATAAACAACTTATTATTGTAGGATTTAATTTTAAATTATGTACTACTACTCTTACCACTGTTAAATTCCATACATTTTAATAGAAATTTTTAACTTTTTCAGAGCAGTTTGACATTGATTGTGTCCTTGATTTCACCCATGAGGGTGTGCAATACTTTCACTCCAATTTGAAACTATTCAAACATAGCTTTTGTGTTTCAGGAGGCAGACTCACAGCTAACATTTAAGGGAATTTTAAAAACAGAATCTTAGTTATCCTACATATGAATTCCAACATGAGTAGGAGATCTGACAATTAAGTTAGCAAACTTGTGGCAACAATGTTGCTAAACTTTTTATATCAGAGGGATTATTCATTATGAATTTGTGCCAACTGGACAAACAGTTAACCAAGTTTGCTATTTGGAAGTGCTAAAGAAAAGGCTGCGTGAAAAAGTTTGACAACCTGAACTTTTTGCCAACAATTCATTGCTCTTGCATCACGACAATGTACCAGCTCATATGTCACTGTCTGTGAGAGAGTTTTTAGCCAGTAAACAAGTAACTGTATTGGAACACCCTCCCTACTCACCTGATCTGGCCCCCAATGACTTCTTTCTTTACTGGAAGATAAAGGAAATTTTGAAAGGAAGACATTTTGATGACATTCAGGATATCAAGGGTAATACGACGACAGCTCTGATGGCCATTCCAGAAAAAGAGTTCCAAAATGGCTTTGAAGAGTGGATTAGATGCTGGTGTCGGTGCATAGCTTCCTAAGGGGAGTAGTTTGAAGGTGACTGTAATGATATTCAGCAATGAGGTGTAGCACTTTTTCTGGGATGAGTTGGTGAACTTAATTGTCTGACCTTGTATGAGTCTTTCATCTGTTGCATTTCAAAAACAGTAAGCTCTTGGCATCACCTTCCATTAGCCTGTCTTCCCTGTCCCTCATTTCCAAATCAGTCATGTTGATGTTCAGAGCGTGATGAAAACACACTGTCCCTCTTGGCCCTTCCCAAGTAAAATCATCATTAGCTTCTCGTGAGAGTAAAGTTAGTAACTCGTTGTACTTGCTGACCATAAATGTCTTGTAAAGGGTTTTGTGTACACAGTGGGTAGGAGTGGAGGTGGGGGCCACAATGCCTAGTCATTCTCGTTTATGAAATACTTGGTCTAAATTTCTTCTTCATAATGTGTTTCCCCCACTATCAACAGTGGCTCATGTACCAATGAATCTGGAAGCTTGATGCTTGGAAACCTCAGTCGGTAACCCATCTCCTAACAACACTCTGGGCCCTTTTAAAGAACTGTCATGGACTCTCTATGCCAGGAGTCATAAACTCAAATGCCTCCAAGGCTAGACCAGTTATGTAAGAGAAAGACGCAGGCCAGCTATTAGAAAAACAACAATGAATGGCAGGTCACTGGGGGCCTCTGTATCAGAGACGCAGTAGATAGTGGTGGGGACTGCGGCTAAGTGGAGAGCATTTCTTCTCTCTGAATGAGAAGGTGCCCCATACAGGTGCTAACATGTGGGAAAGTGGGCCTACTATTAAATTTTATTGTTTCCAGGAGAAGCAAGAAATCCAAAGTTTAACAGATTTTTAAAAAACACGTTGGGATTCAAGTAAAACTTTTTAAAAACATTGTACATTTCAAACACAAATTTGACTAGATTGGATTTGCCCCAAGGAGGCCATGGTGTGACCTCTTCTCTACATTCATCAATCACGGCAGTTTCTATGTGGGTTTAAATAACCCCTTAGAGCTCAGGAAATACAATCTAATGTGTACTAGAGCCCAGGATGAATGACAGCTAAACACAGCCCCTCCAAACAGGGGCGTCTCTTACATTTTTAAAGTCTTAAGATTGTGAGCCCTGAATGAGATGGCTGACGAGTTTGGTGGGAGTCCAGCTGTCTAGGAGTGACTCTTAGCTCCATCATTTTCTCACCTCTGCACCTAAATTTTTTTTTTAAAGGTTTTATTGGGGAATTGGGAGGAGGGGAACAGTGTTGGGGAATCAGGGAAGAGGAACAGACAGGTAGACAAATTGCTGTTTTGTTCTTCAGTCTAGTTGTGGAGGACTTCGCTTCACTGGCCCATGTTGGTATGATCATTGTGCTCTTCCTGGATGAGGCAGATCAGTCGCCGGTCATTGGTCGGCTGCTCACAGTGGCTCCCAGCAGCTCACGCCGGCTGCTAGTCGCTCACGCTGGATGCCAGCCACTCACGTAGCTCACAGCAGCCCACTGCAGCACTGCTGCAGCCTACACCGTCGCCGGCAACTCACAGCAGCCCAGCTCCAGGTTGAGCTGTTGTTCACCATCTTAGCTGTAGAGGGCAGTGTCACTGGCCCTCAATGTGGGATCTGAACCACAGCCCTGCTGCTCAGAGCTGGCGCTCCCAAGCGAGCTTTTAACTAGATGAGGCACTCGGCCGGCCCTGCACCTAAATTTCTTCATTTGAGAAATGAACAAGTAGTATCTATCTCATCAGATTCTGAAGATTAAATGAATTAAATGAGGCAATTTAGGTCAAATGCTTAGTAAGTACTCAGCACTCGTTTTTACTCTTCTCCACTCCCTCATCTTCCTTCCTGCTGCTACTACCATTGACCTAGCCTCCCTCTTTTGTTTTCTCCGTATTTCAGGTTCCTGAGCCCCTTCAACATGATCCTAGGAGGCGTCGTGGTGGTGTTGGTGTTCACGGGGTTTGTGTGGGCAGCCCACAATAAGGACGTCCTCCGTCGGCTAAAGAAGCAGTACCCCACGGCCTTCGTCATGGTGGTCATGGTGGCCAGCTACTTCCTCATCTCCCTGTTCGGAGGGGTCATGGTCTTTGTGTTCGGCATCACTTTTCCTTTGCTGTGTAAGTGAACCTGAGTTGACTTTTCTGACATCCTAAAAAATGGAGTGAATTCCATAATCTGCTTCTTATGTGTGTTGGCATTCTGCAAAATGATCGGCATTTTCTGAACTGGCAGATCAAGGCCTAGGAGTCCGTTAATTCCACGAGTATGTACTGGGCACCTGCTCGGTGCCACACACTCTTCTGGGGACACCACAGTAAACGAAAGAGAGGCCAATCCCAAGTCACATAATGGGAAAATGCCCAGCCTGCACAGGACCCCAGAGTTGTCGGATGTTGGTGTCTGCTCTCAGCCTTGAAGTGCCTGGCACAGGAATGAGTGTATTTCATTTGGAAGTGAACTACTTACTCTCTACTTAGGAGATGATTATTAGTGTCTAAAGTTTTATAAGCCTATAGAAATAATTGGTCCAGAATACAGAGACCAAGTCCTCTGATTGTGGTGGAGAGAACTAGATATTTTCTAAGTTTTACGTGCATTGTTTACTGAGATCCCAAACACATGAAGCTTGAAATCGGGAACAGATAAAATTCCAGTCTCATTAGCAGAAATCTGATTAAAATTCTAGGAATTAAGTGACAGGAATATCCCTTTAGGTTTTAATCGCCTTTCACATGTGCATTATTCCATGAAATGAAATCAGTTGCTTGTTTGGGGTTGTTAGAGTAAGCCCAGAATATTTACAGATGAGTCCCACACCATATTGGACAAATTATTTGAATCAGCAAATTCAGACTTTTTGAATTATTCTTCAAGTGTTCCTTATGTGCTAGAGGCTTAGTATTTCCATTACTGTACTTGGACACACAGCTCATTAAGCTCAGTGCCTTTCCACGTCAGAGCCTGAGATAGGCCAGTGCGATGAAATGTATCATGGGTAGAAAGTCAAGGGTCTTGATTTCTACTGCTAGACCTGCTGGAAAGTAGCCATGTGATTTGGACCAGGTATCCTACATGGGTTGTAGTTCCCTCATCTATATATAAGGAGACTAGACAAGATCAGTGATTCCCAGACTTTGGTGATTGTGAGAATCATCCAGGATGCTTTTTAAAAATATACATTTCCCAGCCATGTTTCTTGGAGATCCTAATTCTGTGGGTCAACAGTGCTGCCCAAACAACCTGTATTTTTGGAGATCTCTTCATATGTTTCTAATGGCCAGTCTAGGTAGGGAGCCTCCAGGTAGAATGCACATTAGAGTTTCTCAAGATGAGGGTCCCAGATCACCTGTGTCAGACTCACCTGGAGTGAGTATTGAAATTTCATGTTCTGGAGCTCTCCCTCGGCCTTAACAGCCTGAATGTGGGGGCAGGGCTGGAGGCTGGGAATTTATCTATTTAACAGGCTTTCCAGGTAATTTGTGTGTACACAGAACTTTGAAAATCACTGGTGTAGATCACATGGGGTGCCTGTTTAACATACAGATTCCAGGCCCATGAAGGCTCTGGTCTAGGCAAGGGCCAGGGACCCTTTCTTAACACACAAACTTGGATAATTCTCAATGACGAAGCAAAACTTGGGAACACAAGGGTACATCAAATCTATAACCTTTAGTTTTTACCTACAAATCTATATCCAACACTTAGAAAACTGCCTCTTAGGTGGACTTTACCTCCTAGGTGGATGGACTTCACCACATGCTTCCTGTATAGATGATCTCTGAATTGAGCCTGAGTTCCTTTCTGGGAACTGTGTGTAAGGTTGATTTTTATGTAGGTTGGACTCAAGTTGATTCACTTTGAATGTCAGGACATTTAAGTAGCAGCTGAAAGATAGTGATATCGGTGTGGGATGGAAAAAGTGGTTGCCAGATAGGGTCCTTCCTGCTGAATACAATGCTTTCCTTCACACAGAAAGAAAACTTTATGTATGACATGATGAAGAACATTATATAAAAGTTATCTGAAGTCCAAGGATCCATTTGAGGATTTGGACCAATGAGAGAACCCGATTGTACGATAGCTAACTGAGGCAGTTTACTAAAAGTGTGGAGAGAGGGCATGTAATGTTATGTGGAGAAAGATAACTGTTGCTTTGGTGCTAACCATGTTTCGCTTCTCTGTAGTGATGTTTATCCATGCGTCTTTGAGACTTCGGAACCTCAAGAACAAACTGGAGAATAAAATGGAAGGAATCGGTTTGAAGAGGACGCCAATGGGCATTGTCCTAGACGCCCTAGAGCAGCAGGAAGAAAACATCAGCAAAATCACTGACTACATCAATAAAGTGAAGGAATAAATATAGTTGACGTGGTAATGGGGCTGCAGGAGAAATCAAATTGCAGCTTGCCCTTGTCCAGACCTACTTTCTGTTTGTATTTTTGAAATCGGAGGTGCACGTACCATCCTGCGATGCATGTGTAGGCCAAACTGTTAACATATCTGATGTTACAGAAGAAAGCCTCAGAAACCAAAAGAAACCACCCTCCTAGTATGTCTGCAGTTTCAACTACATTTATGAAAACTGATAGGAAATGAAGCACACATATCTTTAGGGGAATAAAGAAAATAAAAGAATTGTGCCTATAAGCAACAATACTGTTGTCTTATAGGAAAAAAGTAATTGTAAAGTGTCAAGGTGATATGCGTAAATGAAAAAGACTGTTAAAGTAGATGATGTCACCCATTAACCTGTTTAATCCTCATCCAAATATATTCCCCAGGGTTAATAGTATGTGGGGTATAAGTTAGCTTAGTTTTTATTATCCTTTTAAAATCAAAGATGACCTCTGTCACTTTGCCTCCTGTTTGACATGCAGTGGAAACTGGATAAACCAGTTGTTTATATTTTGTTTACAAATATAAAGATAGCTGTTTAGGACAATATTTTGTCAAATTTTTGTAAATTTTTGAAATGCTAGTGATGTGTTTTCACTAGCAGGTATTTCTTGCAAACTGAATGTCATCTTCCTTGAGGAGGTTGCAGCTATGTAACCTGTATTGTTCTTTACAGTCTTGTTTAAACAAACAAAATAAAGCAAGTTCTGTTTATATTACACATTTTTTGTGGTTATAATGACAAACAGGTGTCCAAGGTAATGTTTCCTATATTTTTTTCATTGTTGAGTTTTTAACTGGAATATTTAGAAAGAAGAAAATGAATGTGCATTTTATTAATTCTCTAGGGGCACAGGAGGACAATAATAGCTGATCTTTTGAAACCTGAAAAGCATCCCTAGATGACCAAGCAAAAAAGACTTTTAAAAATGGGAATGAAAATGGAGTGATCACTGGCTTCTGCAGTTCATAAATAGTTTAGATAGCAAGTGTTGCAACCATATGTTTTTATAGACATTAGAGTTAAGATAGCATGTGTTTATATATTCTGTTACTTTCTTCCTTTCATTTCCCATGTATTTAGAAATGGATTATACAAAGTGTTTTGCTTGCCAATTGAGTCATTTCACAGATGAATAGAAAACATTTAGGTTTCCTTACATTGAATTATGAAGACAATTGGAGCAGTACTTCTTGAAGAGACTCCCTGTACTAGAATAAGAAGCAACAGCACATGCTGCTCCTGATTTTTATTGCATTTTAATTTCTCAGCCAATCGGCAGCCTTCATCTCTAGCACAGTGATATCACGATGACTTCGTAGACATGGTCTAGGAATTGTATCCTTACTCGAATATGAAGAATAAAATTTATCAAAGGTTTTTTTTTGTGAGACTATTTTTAATGCATGTCTGTGTTAAATATCTGAGAAACTCAGTGACAACCCTATAAATGATGAGGATATTCTATACAGCAAACACTCAGCTTGTGTTCCACATACTGTTTAATAAAATATCAAAACTTTTATTAATTTGCAGCCAGAATAAAATTAAATTCCAGTGGGATCCGTTTTTAAACCTGACATGGGTTTTTTCTTTTCTTTTTTTTTGCTGGGTACAGTGAACTTTATTGATGGTGCATGACAAGGTAGGGCTCCCTCAGCCCCTCCCCTTCTCCAGGGGGTCTGGGATGGAAACTGGAGGTAAGGAGATTCTCAGTATGTTAGGGGATCAATTTGGGAAAAGGACTCCCCGATAGCTGAGGGCCTCTCCTCTTCTTGCTGGAGCTGGTGGTCTAGGGAGCTCCTACTCCTTGGAGGCCATGTGGACCTTGAGGTCCACCACCCTGTTGCTGTAGACAAATTCCTTGTCATACCAGGAAATGAGCTTGACAAAGTGGTCATTGAGGGCAATGTCAGCCCCAGCATCAAAGGTGGAAGAGTGGGTATCACCGTTCAAGTCGCAGGAAACAACCTGGTCCTCAGTATAGCCCAGGATCCCCTTGAGGGGGCCGTCCGATGCCTGCTTCACCACTTTCTTAATGTCATCGTATTTGGCAGCTTTCTCCAGGCAGCAGGTCAGATCCACAGCCGATACATTGGGGGTAGGGACACGGAAGGCCATGCCAGTGAGCTTCCCGTTCGGCTCAGGGATGACCTTGCCCACAGCCTTAGCAGCGCCAGTAGAAGCAGGGATGATGTTCTGGGCAGCCCCTCGGCCGTCACGCCACAGCTTCCCAGAAGGACCATCCACAGTCTTCTGGGTAGCAGTGATGGCATGGACTGTGGTCATGAGTCCCTCCACGATGCCAAAGCTGTCATGGATGACCTTGGCCAGGGGGGCCAAGCAGTTGGTGGTACAGGAGGCATTGCTGACAATCTTGAGGGACTTGTCATACTTCTCATGGTTCACACCCATCACAAACATGGGGGCAACCGCAGAAGGGGCAGAGATGATGACCCTCTTGGCTCCACCCTTCAAGTGAGCCCCTGCCTTCTCCAAGGTAGTGAAGACACTAGTGAACTCCACAACATACTCAGCACCAGCATCACCCCATTTGATGTTGGCAGGATCTCGCTCCTGGAAGATGGTAATGGTCTTTCCATTAATGACAAGCTTCCCATTCTCAGCCTTGACTGTGCCTTTGAACTTGTCATGGGTGGAATCATACTGGAACATGTAGACCATGTAGTTGAGATCAATAAAGGGGTCATTGATGGCGACAATATCTACTTTGCCAGAGTTAAAAGAAGCCCTGGTGACCAGACATCCAATATGGCCAAACCCATTCACTCCTATTTTCACCATCGTGTCTCAGGGTCGTGCTGGTACTGCACAGGAAGATGTGACTGTCTGTCGAATGGGAGGAGCAGAGAGCAAAACCTGACATGGGTTTATACACATTTTAGCCCCATCTGTTTTATACACGGTGATTTCTGCTGACTAAACATAGCAAACCTTGAGAAAGTGACAACTTGAATTTAAAAAATATGCTCATTATAATTACTAACAGCCAGTGGTCAATTCTGGAAGTATAACACTAGAAAAATGTAGTGTGCAAATGCTATAAGTTTTCACATTGTTTTCTATTTCTATAACATTTTATATAACTCATAAAATAGTGCTTATATAAAAATTCACACAAAGTTGCTAGAGAATGAACAATTTCCAAAAGTGTCCTGGGTTTTTGTTACATTCAGTTTTTGAAGGATGCACTCATACCATTGGTAAAATGCAGACAATATGTGATATTTCATATCTTTGGAAAAACTATTTTCATTATTTTGTCTCATCACAGCATTAACTCAGATAATCCACTTTGCATGGGGTCTGCTATCACCAGGATGTCAGAAAAATATTAAGGCTGGATCTATATTAGGCAAGTATTTCCAAATGGCAATAATAGCCCCTTGGCCCTCACACCCACTTCATAGTATCTGTCTAAACAGGCAGGGTGAGAGCTCAGTGACCTCCAATCAGGGGTCTCGAGAAGCAAGAAGCAAACATTTGGGGGGAAATCATTATACTAAAAAAACAACATTAAAATTTTCAATTAGGAAATTTTTAGGGTGGAAATGGGAGAATAGAAAAAGCATAATGTGAACGACTTTGGTTCTCTCTTGATAAAATCTGTGTTTTGAAGCAATAAGCTAAGAATTTGGATCATCTTTTCTTTTTGTACATCTAAGATTAAAGTCTTCTTTCAGGACCATTAGCTCTTTGAAATTCCTGACTTTATTAATACTGTAGCTGTACAAGCAAATGCATAAGGGCTTTCTAGAACTTCAACCACTAATATGCATTAAGCTTTTAAACATGATGAGGGTGCTTTGTCCTATCAGAGTTTAGTCTTTAGATGTAAAATATGCTAGACACTTAAAAATCTTTATTGCAGTCCTTTCTTAACTATCCTGCTTTATATGTGAGGATGTTTTACAGAAATAGTAAGAGGAGACAACAAAGCTATCAGCTGTGGGCTATTCTAAAATTAGTTGATTAATAACTATACATTTGGGTACTTTTGTACACACTGAATGATCTTTTAACAAATAAGACACTGTATTTCTTTACTATGGCTTGTCCTTCTAAAAAATGTATTGTTTAAGGGCTCTAGAAACTTGGAGGGAGGAAATAACACTGGGGTTGAAGTTGTCTGGAAGGTTTTTGTGGAGGATTGGGACCTGACCTGGACTTTGAAGATGGGGTGGGATTTTCATGAATGGAGAGCGGAAGGAAGTCTCTCAGGTATCCTGTGGAGGGTCGGTGAGAGCAAAGGCACAAGGAGTGCCTGAGGATGTTTCATCAAGGAGTATAAGGGATGAGTGGCAAATAAGACTGGGTTAGTAAGTGGGGGCCAGGTAATGGGGTGGCCTTGAATGGTAGGATAAGCAATTTTAATTTAATCCCACAGTAAGTTTCATTTAGAAGATTTTTGAAGAGAGCAAGAGGTCAAATTAGATTCGCAGACTAAACTTAAAAACAAACAAAATACAGTTAGCTAAACCAAAAGCTTCTCAGTAACTATTATTATTATTTTTTTTTATAAAGGTAGCATACTATCTCCCACTGTTTCTATATGTTTGGAAACTGGGACGTTTTTGTATGTATGCAGGATTCGTTTTCTCCATTACTTTTCCTGGAAACTGTTTTCTCCACGTTCTGAGGCTTAAATGTTCTGCTCACAGCTACCCCTATCAAGTTACCCCCAAAACACCAGGGCAATGGCCAAAGGAGAAAGCCAGGCAGGGGTGGTAACTGGAAATCTCAACTGATTCTGAGAGGAGCTAATTAACAATTCTTCCATTTCAGCGCATCAGAAGGGCGTCAGTTCACTCTTCACATTTCCATGGAGTGAAACATGATTTGTTCCTTTTAAGATATTGTGTGGTGAATTACAGCAGAGGAGATGGAAAGAGAAAATAAAATGGAAATAGAATAGTTAACACTTCTACAGTATTTATTATTATTTAGCAGAATAAAACAATAATAAAGCAAACATTTACAAAAAACATTTTTTTAAACTTATGTGCTGAAAACATTACTCTAAATTTCACCTAAGTCACTCAAACTGATTGGAAGTAGAAAATATTGACTCTGAATGTTAATATTTTATCCCCTTCCTCCTTCTTTTTCAGCCTGTGTTTTGTCATGGGCCGAGCATTCTGCCTTTTGCAAAATACTCCTGTCAGAAGTGAGCATTGTTCCCAGTTCCACCACCTGATCCAGATGTATGGGGCTGATAGAGTCTCCAAGCTGTAATCCAAAAGTCATTATTTCAATTCCTTGTTCTTCTAGAGTATTCTGTCACCTCTTACTCCAGTTCTTTAGGCAGTTGCACCTGTGATTTAAGCATTTGAAGAAAAGGAGAAACATTAATCCTGAAAATTTAAGAGCTTTATAGCAAAATGACAACATTTACATGCCTCAGAGGTTGCAGAGTGGATTAGAAATTCTGGCCAGACAGCCCCCAGATCATGATAAAACAACAACAAGCACAGCCACCATTCATTTGGCATTTACTGATCCAGGGACTGATCCGGGCTTTGAGCACATGGCCAAGCATATCATAGAAACAAGGGGGCAGGTGCTGGTGTCGCCTGGGTTCAACTACTGGGACCAGCACCTACGAGTTGTGTAGTGTTGGGCATCGGTTTGTTAGGTGTAAAGTGATAATAGTGGTCTTTAACTCACAAGGTTGTTTTAAGGATTCAGTAATATAATACAAGTTACTCATTCACGTTAACACTTATTTTAAAAGTATTTTCTCATTTCATCCTACAACAACCTTGTAAAGAGGATACTGGCTCAGACAGGAGAAGTAATTTTCTTAAAGTCACACAGCTGTGAAATGGCAGAGCAGGATCTGGACCTAGAGCTGCCTGATTTCAGTACTCATGCCTTAACCACTAAAATACCACCACAAGAATATAAAATGTATGTTCTTTGAACAACCAGTCTTTCCTTTTTGAAGCACATTCCTACTTTGATGCTCACTAAAATTTAAAAACAAAATATTGTTTGGAGAGCCTCCAGGGAGAAAAAAAGAAATCATGAATGAGTAGCATAAGTCTGACTACAAATGAACTTGTAGCTTTGTTTCATAGAAACAACCTAAGGGACGTTCTCAAAGGGTATTATCTTAGGAAGATGACTCATCCATCACGGACAAACCACATTCCAGAGGACACTAAAGAATTCAGAGGACACTTAGGGTTTATATAATAATGACTAGGAATGTTTCTCCTTTTACTGCCCGTGCCCACCTGCTAATGTGATGAACCATTTTGGCCATCTGCTAAGGCCTCTCTTGCAGCCTGTTCTCTGGCCATGACCTTTGGCTAGAAAGGTCTCCCAACATCCTGCCTACCAGAGAGGACCTTTCATCTGTTGCTGCTGCCTGCATAACCTTTAAACCAAGGTATTTTTCTGTGTGTCTGACCCTCTCCCTCATCTTCTCCCTGCCAGACTTTCAGAAGGGCAGCAGTGTGACTGCACCTTAGTAGCGCGCACTCGTGGGAAAGAGGAGAAAATTGCAGATGGATAGGATCTAGAGAACCTAGCTAAAGAGAAAGAAGAGCTTATAAATGAGACAGAGAAGAAATGGCCAGAGATGAGATGAAGGCTCAATAGTCTATAATCTCACATTTTGTAATCATAACTGCTAACACACTGTGGAGTCTTTTGGCTAACTAAGGCTGTTCATGATATTATTATACTGAAGTCTTTCCAAAGGAGAAATTTAGCAGTGTCTTTAGGCAACTGGCTGGAAGCAGTACAGATAAACATGGGTGAGCCCCAAGTGAAACTGAGTGAATATTAGAATAGTTACCTTGTTTGATTGGCGCAGAAGCTTGCATGTAACATACATGCAGCTGTCCTCAGAATTAAACAGCTGCTGCCGATGGGATTTTTATCTCAGTGAAAAGTATGAATACTTATTGGGGATGGTAGGCAGTGAACAGACCACAGAATTTTTAAAGACGAAGGAAAATCATACATTTGCCTTGAGGATTAAGCCTGTACAAGCCTAATGTCTTTGTATTGTGCTATTATCATATTGAGTCAAAGCTATTAATTAACTCATAGTCATTATCCAATAAGTTCAGTTTGTTAGATAAAACAAAGACTTTTAAAACATAAAGCAAAACAACAAGAGCAACAAAAACTAAAAAATTCTACAGGAGTCAAATAAGTAACGGAAACGAGTGAAGCAGGCCAGGTGTTAAGCAGTAGGGTGTGGTGGGGACTGAGAAGAATGGGGACGTGCAGGGCCTGTCTCATGGCAGAAGCCAACACACAGAGCCAGCTGATCGGTGCTGTGCAAATGCAAGCACTGTGCTCAGATCTGAAGTTCTGAGCAGTGCCGGATAACTGGATTTTCTAATATGATCTTTAAAATTTTTATATAATAATACTCATGTCAAAAAAGCCAGGCTTTCAGATTTGACCTCTAGTCCACCAGTTTTCAATATCTGGCCTACAGCATACATCTCTTTTAAACTGAATTAAACGGGCAGCTTCTTGCGGGAGGTAGCGTTTGAGCCAAGTAAATATACAGATTTTCCTTTATTCTTTGGTGGCGACTTCACTTCAGGGATCTTGGGCCAGAAACATGTGGTGGGGAGAGAATAAACATTAAAAATGAAAAAAAAATACAGTTTTAAAATGTAAACTGACTACTTAATGAGATATACTCTAGAAAATACAAAAATAATATTTCTAAATCCATGAGAGAAAAATAATTAGTCTTTTTCTTTTTAAAAATTTTCTAAGAATAAGTAATTTCTATGTACATTTTTGGCATTCAGTAGTATAGTTGGACACATCAATTTAAAAAAAAATCACGATTTCAAATTGTATTTTAATTTTAACTGAATACTTGAAAATCCAGGGGTTCACAGGGCATCTCTGCCCTCCAAAACAAGGAGGAGGGAACCCCAAAAGCCTTTAGTTTTACCTCTCCAAATGGGCATCTTTGTGTCTCATTTGACTGGCCCCAAATATCCCTTTTTGCTGGGATTTTGTGATATCATCACTGATGGCATTTACAGTATTTCATTGAGTCTAACATGCACGTTTTGTGATGTTTCACAGCCCTGAGATCAGAAAGCATCTTATAGTCCATGGTGTTTTACAGTAGTTGGCTGCATGTGCAAGCAGACACATCACAGCCTTTCTTGCCGTTTGCGCCTCCGCTGAGCTACATGCCCAATTGGTACTACACATGCGCAGATACATTGCCATTTAAAATATCTTTTAAAGCAGCAGTTCTCAACCTTCCTAATGCCGCAACCCCTTAATACAGTTCCTCATGTTTTGGTGACCCCAAACCATAAAATTATTTTTGTTGCTACTCTATAACTGTAATTTTGCTACTGTTATGAATCGTAATGTAAACATCTTTTTGTTTTCTGATGGTCTTAGGTGACCCCTGTGAAAGGGTCCTTTGACCCCCAAAGGGGTCGTGACCCACAGGTTGAGAACTGCTGTTTTAAAGAATGATAAAGCAAACGAGGCAAAATAGAATGGGCATGTAAGAATTCTTTTCTGTAAGTACCATTTCTGAACTTCTGTAAGTCTCAAATAATTTCAGAATAAAAAAGATTTTAAAAGTTTTTTAAAAGATTACACTGTGATTTGGCATTAAAGCAGAAATTTATTGTATATGCAGCAAGGCACAACAACGGAGCAGTGGGCGCCAACTGACATTAGCAGAGTGGATTTTCATCAGTGGAACATGCATTTTCATTTTCCCACAGAGCATTTTACAGGACCATGCAGATGAAGTTGTGTGACACTTTGTATCTGAGATGCATGCAGACGCCTATCGCAGGCCATGCCAGGCAACTGAAACCAGGAGAAATTGCCAATCCCTTGGAAGAGAGAAGAGACATTTCAAAGCAGAGGCTGATAGGCAAGACCATCATTCAAAAGTTAGTTCAGAGGGCACTTTGAAGCATGTTTTTCTTTCTTAGTGGACATTGAAAAACACAACTTAAAATTGATAACATTGTAGAATTGATTGCAAATGTAACATGTAGTACTTAGTAGGGCAGTGCCTTTTGCAATTACCATCATGAATTTATTTTAATGTCTTTTGCTTTAGGATCTGGACTCAAAACTACAGTGTTCTCAGTTGAGTAAAAGGCAGAATGTCTTGACTATGAAGATTATAAAACCTATCCTGTACCTCCGTGACATTGAGACTGTCCTATTCACTGTGGTGTCCCTGAGCCCTCTGATGGTGCCTGGCACCTGGAGCCTGATGTAAATATTTTTGCGTTAATGAGTAATTGAATGGATGGAGCGAACAGACTCCAGGGAAAGCAGATGTGCACGGCAGAACATTCCCACAGGGCAGGGAGTTGGGTCAGATGATCATTTCAACTTCATTCTTTCTTCTACTCTGAACTCACATACTCCCTTTAATGTGGATTTTAAAAAAATTCTCTTCATTCTTTTCAGAATAATGTTATTTTCTGACTGTGTAGCCAGCAAGGCAGCTTGGATATGCTTTACCAATGGCTGGTTACAGAAGTGAGAGAGCTAATTTCTCTTAGAACAGCACCCCCACCCACCCCTACCGAAGCCTAGCTGCCTGGAGAAGAGCAGGTGCAGGAAGTCTTGATGTTGTGCCCAAGGGCAGGCAAAGAATTCTCGCCTGACCTCATGTGACTTCGAGTGTGCTCACAGTGACTCCTGCCCCAGCTAGAGTCAGAGTTCCCCTAAGTCACAGATAAAGTCACCTTTGAGATAGAAGAATGGAATGTTGTCCATTCTGCATTACTAGGACATGGAATAAAGGACCCACATATATGAGGTGTGATTATACAATGCGGTGAACGCTGCTGCCGAGTGCTATCCAACAGAAAGGCAGGGATCTTCAATTAATTGTGTTTTTTGACCTTGATGGAATTGTGGGAGCTGAGTTTGTACCCTGGAACACTATGGTGAACTCTGCATATTATAAGGGCTTATTAGAGTGTTCAAGAAATGATGTGCAGGGAAAACAGCCTAAGAAAGTTTCCGTCCTCCATCAGGACAATGCTCCGTGTCACACATCACTTCTAGTATGGCAATTTCTGTCAAATAAAAACATTACGGCGTGTTGCATCCACCTTATTCACTGGATCTGGCACTGTGCGACTTCTGGCTCTTCCCCAAAGTCAAAATGACCATGAAAGGTAAAAGTTTTGAATTAATCTAGGACATCGCCACTACAGTGCAACTAAAGACACTCACGAAAGAGGACTTCCAGAACTCCAGAAAATGGCAGGAATGATGGGATAAGTGTGTTCAAAGTGAGGGAGGTATTTTGAGTGGGATTAATGGCAATGTATCTCTTACTGTAATAATTTCTAAAAATTTAAACATTCACCGTATTTTTTATCACACCTCGTGTGTGTGTGTGTGTGTGTGTGTGTGTGTGTGAATAAGTGACAACTATCTTATTTTATAGTACATAGCTCTTGAAGCAGAAAAAGAAAAAGCTTATAGGAAATTGGTAAAACATATTGAAAAAATTGTGACTATGATGAAATAATATACTAACTATGTTGTCAATGTAATCTCGGCTAAATTGCACACTAGATTTTAAAATAATAGTTAGTTATCAAGCACCTGTGGCCTTTGGACACATACTTTTCAGCCTCTATAAATATTATCATAGTAATTACAAAAGAAATTTATTTCTGTAATTTAACCTGCAAGGAATAGAACATTTTCATATATCAGAGCAGTAATAATGAATCATAGTAAATATTAAAACTGAAATAGTAAAGTCTTTTAAAACTCCGTTGATTTGTGGAGACTCTAACCTGAAGCTTACCTTTTATCTACCTGCTTAAACGCAATTGCAGATTGTCTCTCTTCATCTACTAAAAAAGAACCAGCTGTTTTTAAGCGTTTGGAGTGCTCAGTTTATCTACAAATGACTGGCCTAACTAGGCTTCTTTCTTACATATTCCTATAGCAGTTTTCTCAGGATCTCTGAATGTCAGCCCTGAATCCCTGACCCTGGACTCAGAACTGAATTTCAATGTCAACTCTAGAGCGTCTGACCTGTATCTCCTAGATACACATATATTATTTAACTTCTAAGCCTCAGTTTCCTTTCAATAAAATGGGGAGAATAATAATACCTACCTTCTGGGGTTGTTAGGATGATTATATGAGTTAATTCATGAATCTGGCCTACAGTAAGTGCTTAGTAACCATTAGATGTTAATATTGTTACAGATGTTACATGTACATAGATGTATGTCCTTGGGGATAACCAATAATTTAGATCTACTGGTAACGCTGGCGGGCTTCCTCCAGTTAGTCACAATTAGTGAGAATCTCCTGGTGTTAAAATGAGCAGGGAATAGAAATAGAATACAGTCGTTGTGGGGCTTGTTCACCATTTCTCCCTCCGTCTACTTACAGGTTTAAGATAGGCGACGTTGCTTTGACGAATGTCGTTTAAGAGCTGATCTCTGGGAGTGATTTCCACCAATGGGGGTGGTCTATTTCTCGGCACTGGTTTCAGTGTTTTGATTACATCTTTGAGGTTGGTTTTCTCGGGTGCTTCTTTGGCTTCCGGCATCCGAGATTTACGCTGGGTCCTCTTCAGTTTCACTGTCCGGAAGGAGTCAGGGTCTGTTCTGTGCTGAAGAGGCTGCGATGGCTTCTTCATCACTTCATGGCGCCGACCGAAGGGGACTGGCTGAGGGTTGGGAGGATGAGGAGGAGGTTGGAGGAACTCCTGCATTCTGGAATCTGGCATTGGCCCTCCCAACATCTCCCACATTCCAGGTGGTAGCCCCAACCCATTCTCCAACATCGCTATTAACCTTCGCTGCTCTTTGAGTTGCTGCTGTTTTTGTTCTTCTTGCCTTTTCTGCCTTTGTTTATCTTGATTCCTGGTGAGCAGATTGGTTACCACCATTCTGGGACCTGGAAGCTCAAAATGGTAGCCCATCTTCAGGAGAGTGTTGTTTGCCTTCAAAAGCCGGGCTATTTCCATTTCGGCATGGTGGCCCAACATGTGCCTTTGATTGTGAAACCGAAGCTCGGTTAGTGTCTCGTTAAACTGAAGACACCTCATGATGGCTACAATTCCTTTGCCTGTGATGAAATTGGACTCAATGTTGAGTGTGGTAATACTCCTATTTTCACGCAACATGTTAGCCAAGGCAAATGCTACGTTTTCATCTGCACCCACGTTTGCTAAACTGAAGGTTTTGATGTGTTTGTTTTTCTTCATTGCATTAACAAAATCCAGTAACATTTCTTTGGGGATGTTTTCAATGTTGTTCAGGTTGAGTTCCTTCATATCAGGATCATTTTGTCTAACTCGCCTCAAGCCCCCATCCAGGTCTGTTTGGTTTCCTGAAGGTCTTGCACTCACTTTCAAAAAACTGGTATCTAGAGCTAACTTCTTAGGATCTAATTTTGATATTTTTTTCTCACTTTTTTCTTGGGCCTCTGGTCTGTCTTTCTGTTCTTCAAATGCTTTACTAGTTACCTGAGGACAGTTGTTCTCACCATTTCTGGCTTGCTCCTTTACTTTGCCTTTCTCTTCTCTTTTTGTTTTTTCATCACTCCCTTCACTCTCATCTTCTCCATCTTCTCCATCATCTTCATCTTCTTCATCTTCATCATCTTCATCTTCCTCGTCTTCATCATCTTCGTCTTCTTCATCTTCATTATTATCCTCATTATCTGTTTCTTGGACATTGCTGCTGCTCTTTGATTCTCTTTTATTTGCAGTAATTTCATTATTGAGCTTTTCTTTTAAATACTGGGACACCTTTTTATTGCCTTTGTCTATTTCTTCATTCTGCTCTTGAGTGTTTTCCTAAAAGAGAGGTTTATGGTGGTTAGAATACATAGCAGTGAAGAAATATGAAGTAGAGCAATAGCTACTGGAGATAATGAAAAGATTTATTATTACGAAAAAAATAAGTAAATAAACTGTATGTATAGTATTCCATTTGTGTAAGTGTATATGTATATACCTATACACACAGACACACATACAATATACAAAAGTTTATAAATGTATAGAAAAAAAGTTTGTTGTACTGTTTACCAAAGTAGTTATCTCTTAGGAAGAGAGGTAACTATTAAGATAACTGAGGCGGGGGAAGCATTTGGGGATATTCACTTGTTACAGTATACAATTCTAGAGTGCTTGAGGTTTTTTTTTAAACAAAGTTTAAAACACATATTAATTTTGTAAGCAAATACAACCAAAATAAACACAATTTTTTCATAGACACATACATAAACACACATTTTTGGGCTGTGTTAACCTCATCCCATCCATTAAAATGAAACCTAATTAATTTTGTGTTCAGACTCTGTATTGTTTTTAAAAATGCTGTACAATTCCAGAAGCAATTAATAATTATTTGTTTTTGAAAATGTTATGGAGTTATCTACCTATATATTGAAATCTTTGTTTTGACTATAACTGAATAGGCATCTTTGTATTCAATAGCCCCCGATTACACAATAATATTCTTATAGCCATACCAAAATTTACATTCCTCAGACGCAGGCTAATCTAGAATAATGTATGCATTGAGTTTCCCTAAAAACATAATATATTTTGGGGAAAATGAGAGCAGTTTAATATTTTGGAATATACCAAAAAACTTGACTTTGACTTTGTCTTCTCAGCTCTGTGAAAACTGCCATAGCTAGTGCAAGGACAGGTTAACTAGGAAGGCATCTAAGAGGCAGAGCCAGCTACTTCTGGCTGGATTATGTAGAGATTTAGAAATAACTGCTTAGTCTAGGAATGAAATCAATAGTGTTTATTGATTGCTGCCCATTGATTAGTACACTTTCTTATACAATATGTATATCTCAAAGGTGTCATTTTAAAATCTGGTGTAGCAGTTTGAGACATGGGTTTATCCAAATAAGAACTTGATCTTATTGAACATAACAAACATATTGTAGGTTGGAATTGACAGTTGTCAACACCTTTACCAACTAAAGCCTTCACCACTGCATTTCTCATCTTCCCCAGAAGGGGGAGCCAGCCATCAAGCTGTTTAAATGATACCAAGAAAAGGAAAACTGTGAAAAGTACCCAATTGATTTTCTTTTTTTGAAATTGTTCATATAGAATTAGCTTTTACTCCAATTGTAAAATGTCTGCAAATTGTACCTTAAACTCTAACTTGATTAAATAATCAATTTACTTTTTTGAGTTTAGTATATGTTTAAACTCTCCTGACCATGAGACCAATCTATAACTATTCTAATTACATAATGATAATAATGTGACAAGATATATCTATATCACCAGGCATAACTAAAAGAGACTTTACCTGGGAGGATCTTTGTCTTTTTTTGCTAAGCTATTTTTAAGTGGAACATAAGACAAAATTATGCTAATATACAATAAGTTTATAGATTTAACCACAATTCTACTTTTCATACAAAAACATTTAAGAAAGAACTATCTTTAAAACAGTGTAATAGCTATTAATGTCTAAATTCATCACCAATATCCAATCACTGTACAAATATTGGATATTTTTGGTTATTTGACTTGGTCTAATTGTAGGATAAGTGGATGGACTTCAGGGGGACTGTGACACCGTTGAAATTGTATGTGAAACATTGAGTATGTATGTATGTGCTGGAAGGAAAGGGTAGAGAGCTTTTATTAGCTTCTTAAAGGGTTCTGTGAGCAAAAAAAAAAAGAGTTAAAGACAACTGTCTCTGGCTTACGAGTTAATTCATTAAATATCATATCTATAGAATACAGGCTTTCCTACACTGCAAACCCATAGCAATTTTTAAAAAAGAGGCATTTACAAGGAATTACCAACTTTCCCCTCACAGTTATATCATGTAAGTTTTTCAGGAAGTTCCAATCTGGAGTAGGACTCAATATTACGATTTAATCTTTAAGTGGCAACAAAACAACTCAAGACATGAAATCTTAAGAAGTGACAGTTATAACATGGACACCTGCCATCCCAGGCAGCCATTTCTCTGTTGTACACAAATCCCTGATTACCTCAGATGGCACAAAGGTGACAGGAACACGTTCATCTTCCAGCATGCGTCTGGATGCCTTTTGCCAATACATATAATCAACAAGAGATTTATGGTCGAAGTTTCCTGTGGGTGGTTTGTCGGTTTGATCTTTTTGAATCATTCCCACGGGAAGCCTGGGGTCAGGAGCCATGACTTCCATTTCCGAATGCAGTTCTTCCAGCTCTTCGGGTGACAAGTTGGCCAAGATTTTATCTTCATCAATCTCGTCATCAAAGAGTTCTTCTTGATCTGAATTCCTGCTGTGCTCTGACATGATTCTTTTTCTATATTTTTTTCCTATCTTACTAAAAAAGGAGAAATAATCAAAGATGATTAAAAAACAAACAAACTCAAGAAGTTTCCCCAGTTCACAAGCATACCAAGTCAATACCACTCTGAGAGATTTTTTTTCCCCCCAAGCACCCCAGTGGTGCTTTCTGGTCAGCGAAGAGTGACTGCAGTGAGGCTCATGCCATGTCTATATTAAGCAGGGCTTGGCTGGATACAGTCAATTTATGGAACTACTATGCCTCTCTCTATTCGGCAACTTGAGTCAGCTGTGCAAATCCATCTGACATTTAAGTACAGCTGCTTAGGTTCTCCAGTACCAGGTTCTACAGAATCACTGCAGGAATAAATGAGTTCTCTTCCCATATGCTTTGACACTGTCACACACAAATTCACGCAGAGCAAACACACATACCCCAGTACACAGGAGAGAGCACTCCTTTTTATTTAAATGATTAAAGCAACTTACAGTGTTTCGGAAGGAAAATCCAACCAGCGGCTTAGATTCTACTGAAGTGAAAAATTCACTTGAAGGAACTTGCCTCTTTACTACGATGTGACTCTGGAAGCAAATAAACCTGCACACAGCAGGCTGAGGTCTGACTGTGTTACTCATCTGCTGTGTAAGCTGAACCTTTGCAAGATGTCCTTATTTGCATCTAGGTCCTGTGATCTAACAGATGGGGACAACCAGCACTTGAATTTCCACTATGAGTGGGGAGTTTAACGTTTTAAATAATTTGTTTTTCTTATTAAGTATCCATTAAGCCAGGATAAATTTAAATGGATCTAAGCTGAAAAGTAAAAAACCCCAAACATTAAAGTACCAGAAGAAAGTATGAGAAGATTTTTTTCATAACTTCAGAGTATGGCAATATTTTTCAAATGGCAATGTTTATTAAAATGACAAATGCACATTTCCTTTGACATAGCCATTCCACTTTTAGAATTTTTGTTCCACTCTTTTTAGTATTAAATATGTTTAGAATTTTTTGTCCACATTTTTATTTACAGATATATTCTCCTATGGGTGGAATGACAGGTATACAAGATTATTTAATATAGCAAAGTGAAAAACAGTGTATTCTATATGCTATTATTTGTGTGATAAGGTAAAAAGAATATATGTATGTGACCAAATTTTATCAACATAATGCTTCCTTGGAAAGATACACAAGAAACCAATAACCTTGGATATTTTTGGATAGATGAATGGGTTGTTGAGAAGGCTGGGAAAAAGACTTTGTTACTGTATACCCTTTTATAATTGCCAAAATTTGAGCTTTGTGAAAATAAAATGAATATAATGCTTTTAAAAATACACATTTATTGTGCAAAAATTAGTATAACACAGGGAAGAACACAAAAAATAAAATAAAAATTTGCCCTTATCTCACTATCAGTATTAACATTTTGGTTTATAATTGCAGTCATTTTTTCTAGGCATATGAACTCAACAATCTTTTGTCATCTGTTTGTTTGTTTTTTACTTATAAAATCAGGGTTTTTGGTTTTTTTTTAAGACTATTGTATATTCTACCACTACATATGGTAGGATTCTTTATATAAATGTACCACAGTTTATGTAACCAATTCTCAATTGTTGGATATTTGGACTGTTTTCAATTCTCACAAGAACAAAGAGTTCTTTAGTAAACATCCCTATAGCTAAATATTTGTACACATACAAAGTTATTTCCTTGAAATAAATTGGATCCAAGAAGTGAAATTGCTGGGTTGAAGAATTAGAACAAATTAAAGACTTTTTCATCTATATGGTTAAGTGTCCTACTTACTGTTTGTTATTGTAACCCATCATATATATATATATATATATACACATATACATATATATGTATACATATATAATTATTTGCAAATTGTCTACATGTTACTATTCCAATATTATACACAATATAATATTTTATATTATAGTATATACAATATATTTAATATATTATATAATCAAATAATATAATCTTGAATATACTTATAATATTAATAAATATTTATAAATAAAATGTATACTTTTTGGCATATATTTTATTTTATATATATACACACACACATATATAACAAAGTATATGTGAAAAAAATCAAATGTGTCAAGCTTTAAATGTATGTTTTAATATTTTCTTCCTACTCGAGTGGTTTGTCTCGAACTTGCCAAGGTGGTGAGGTTTTTCATATACAGAGGGTGCCAAAAAAATGTATACACATTTTAAGAAAGAAAAAATAAAACTATTAAAATTGTAATACTCAATATATACCGATAACAAAAGATGAATACAAATCACGTTTGATTTCTGCAATTATAAGAGGTACTCGGGCCGGCTGAGTGGCGTGATGGTTAAGAGCTGGCTGGGACGCAAGAGGGCCCCGGTTCGGATCCCACATATGGGGGCCAGTGACACTGCCCTCCACAGCTAAGATGCTGAACAACAGCTCTACCTGGAGCTGGGCTGCCGTGAGTTGCCGGGGCGGCGTAGGCTGCAGCCCCTGCTGCAGTGGGTTGCCATGGGCTACCGTGTGTAGCCAGCAGCCAGCATGAGCGGCCAGCAGCCTCTGTGAGCAGCTGTCCAGAAGCTGGAGGCTGATCTGCCTCACCCGGGAAGAGCGCAATGACGGTGCCAGCTTGGGCCAGTGAAGCAACGTCCTCCACAACTAGACTAAAGAACAAAAGGACAGCAATTTGTCTGTTCC